ATTTCATAATGATATGTACTACAAATTATGTTCCCATTGACATGGGATTTTTTTAAGACAGAACTTGACTAAGGAAGGTTCAACTAATTTATCGTATAAAACCCTCTACAGGCTGGCACTGTGGTGTAGTAAGTTAAGCTTCTGCCTGTGGCGCTGGCACCCTACCTGGGCACTGGTTTGAGTCCTGGCTGCTCCACTTCTGACTGATCCAGCTCCCTGCTAATGTGCCCGGGAAAGCAGCAGAAGATGGCCCAAGTACCCTGTACTCAAGTGGGAGACCCAGAAGAACCTCCTGTCTCTTGGATCAGCCCAGCTCAGGCCATTGCAGCTATTTGGGGAGTGAACCAGTAGATGGAAGAGCTATGTTTCTGTCCCCCTTTCTCTCTATCTTTAACTATGCCTTTCAAATACATAAATAATCTTTAAAAAAAAAAAAAAGAAAAAAGATAAAGCCTTCAAGGATAAGAGCTAAGCTCTACTCTAGGAAGGAAAAAAAATCACACTCCAAAGGTATCAGTTGACGCCTTAGGTCAGTAGAACTTGTAATGTAACTTGAGATCTTTCAAGCACTGAAGCACCTTCTCCAGACAGCTGGTAGTAAAGAGAAACACTCCCGCAGCAGGGGAGCCAGGTCATGCTGGCCCCAGGGCTCAGCATTTGACAGGGGATTCCGCTGCAGAAATCAAATGCCAGCTAAAATCCCATTTTGAAAAGTGAAATAACAAAGAAAAATTATGAAAGAGAAATGAAGTAGAGAGAAGAGGAAAATAAAGGCTTATGTCAGTCAAATGTAAAAGCATATAACACTGCACACCACAGATAAATACATGGACATGTGCAAACATGCATATAAATTTTGTGCACAGAAGTATTAAGCTTACATAAGTCTTAATTCTCACTTTGCAAATTTGTAGTGTGACTTCAAAATAGATTTTAGTCTCATTCTTCACATTTTCAGGGCTACCAAAATCACACCTGACATCACAGGATCTGTAAGTTCACTTTTGTGAAGACAACTTTGTTCAAACTCCATATTGAACACAATGATTTCTAAAAATAATCAGGTTGCTTTAAAGCTTAAAGGAAAAAAAAATATGTTACACTTTTACCCATGAAGATCGGATGACTCTGAGCTTAATAATAGGATATATAAGCTTTCAACCAGGGTCACTGATGACTACAGTAGACAGTCATTCTAGGACATTACCATGTAGCAGCTGTTTTGTTCACAATCTGTAGAAGAAATGTGTTGCCTGTCTCTATTAATACTCATTGGACAGGTGTATGCATTCCAAGTCATATGCATCTGCCAATCCCTAGCACTTTTAAGCAGAGTGGTGAAAGCCACAACAGCTGTTACCTCTAGCAAGTCCTTTAGCATGCTCAGTTCTCTCTTTATCTAAAGTACTACACAGTAATACTGCATATTTATAGCACTTTTTCTGCCTAAACCAAAATCATAAAGGAAAGATATGTGGAGGATTTCTGAAATGAGCACTACACGATTCTACAAACCAAAGGCGGCAACAGATCGTCTTTCTTCATAGCAATATGTGGTCAGGGCCAAAGCAGCTGAGATGGTCAACACTTACAAAGGCTCCGGGAACTGCAGGGACTGCACACTTCCCCGGAATGGTGTGCTTCAGCCACAGTCAGACATGCACACATAGATCACTAGGAAATGCACCTCTGAAATATATGTACCAAGGCAGTGGGAACAGTGTAACTCCCTCTGGCCTGCTGCTGCCATCTAGCCCCTAAATCAACATGTACTGTGGTCACAAAGAGTCACAATCCATCAGTTCACCCTTTCACCATGGCAACCAGATATGAGATGGTACTTGTAAAGTCACTCCAATAAAGAAGGGTTCCCCCAGCCACTGGCACAGTGATAACAGGAGAAGTATGTTTTGGAAAAACAAGCTATTCTTTGTATACCACAGCAAGGAGGTATGTAACTCACCACTTAATCTGCTAGGTCTGTTTTAAAACATCAATGACACCCTCTCACTGTCCTTTGCCACCTATTCAGCCCGTTGGCACTAACGGAAATAAACTCATCTAAAAATCATAATCCCATCTTCTGAGTTCACATCTTCTTTTGGGGAACTCAGCATCTCCTTTTAGAAGAATTTCATTTAACCAGGCAATATTTCAACTCACATTTAATATGCATCTTAATGTCTGCATAAAATGCTTAACAGGAATTCTGTTTTATTTGCCCTAACAATGTTGAATAATGCACTAAGTATGTGGCAAAAAATTCAAAAAAAATGGCTAAAGTCACTAATAGCTCTTTATTTCAAATATATTATTCTGTTTCTAAAGGTCTTAAGTGCCCCAAAAGTTCAGGCTTGAAACATTTTCTTCTGTCATATCTAAGAAACTTTAGAAAAAGAAAGAAAGCAATCACTGTGCCCTTTTGATTTGCTTTGATAAAATACCAAATCAACCATGCAATATGATGTTATTTTGTTTTGGATTTAGTGTTATTACTGATCATTGCCTGAAATTACATTTCACTGATAGGAAAATTAAGGCAGGGAAACACAGACTCTTTGAGTAGAAAAGACTTCAGAATCAGCATAGTAGGCTCAGAAATATTACAACCAGAGCAATTATGCAACTGAAAAAAATTAATATTTTTGTATAAGCTAAAAGTTTATATAAGTTCTATAATTCTAACATTAATAACAAACAGTGAATGCATTATTTTTGTTGACTTTAAGTATTAGTTTTTTGTCTTAAATGCCAAGCAGCTCAGAGTAGAACTGAGAACACTACTTCTTAGCATTGGTTTCTGGGGCAATCCGAAGCTCTTCATAAATTCAGTAATTAGTGACTGCACATCTGTTATATCCAGATAGTGTGATAGATGCTCAAGCTACAGAAGTAAACACACCAGGTGAAAATTCCTATATTTATGGGACAGAATTGCTTAAGTACAAGACAGAGTATGTCAGTGGTACAGCTAAAATAAAAAGCAGGAAAATAAACAGTGGTATGATGCTCCACTTTAAAAAGGGTGCCACATTCAAACAGAAGCTGAAAAGTTGGTCAGAGGGGCTGTCAGAAACAAAGGGGATGGATATATAGGGGAATATTCCAGGCATAAGGAACAGTGAGTGCAAAGGCCCTGAGGTGGAAACATGCCTGGCATATAAGATTCACTCTTTTGTTATCAACTAACGTGCATTTTCTCTTTACTGAAAGTTTTGTCAGATGCTCTGGAAGAACGTCAGGGATGTCCATGCAATCATACATACTGCAGACAAGTTTCAGACATGACATCACTTCAAAGGAGTGTTTCAAGGTTATATATTGCAGTGACCAATTGGCTCACCTTGCTATCCTCCCACTCCCACAGATTAAAAAGAAAGAGGAAACTGCTTTGGGGCAAGGGCCCACCTTAAGGAAACCAAACTGCTGGGCACAGTATGCTGACCCACAATGACTACTTCCCTTGGACTTCTAAACTCTCTGGTATTTGTATCCAGCATTTAACAGTTAAGTGTTGCCTCCTACTGCTACTGTGTTTACATCTCATTACGTGCTACCTTGTATTATTCCTGTGTATACCTCTGCTCTCCCAGTCCCAGAGATTGCCTTGGAGCAAGGCCCATATTTGGGGGATGTTTGAATCCCACCACAGGGCTTTGTATGAGGATGGCAGCAATGTCTGTTTGATGGTTATGTCATAGAAACTGCCACAAAGAACAACAGACATGCCCCCTGTTTTGTGTATCTGTTTGTGGATGAAGCATGAAAGAGACATCATCATCTCTCACAAGCATTTGGGTAATCTCAACTATCTGGGCCAAGTTACTGTTTGTATAACATTCCATTCTAAGTTTCCCTTTGCTTTTCCAATTGCACAGTACACACTTCCAATCTAGCCCCAAGCAAGGATTAGCCACAAAACACAGAGGCATCACTCTGCATGGAACCCTTCGCAATTCGCTTGAGCCAATTAAACACGATTATGTGAAAAAGCTCTCTGCATGAAACTACCAGATATGGGACTATAAGACATTGTCCAGATAGTCTAGCAAGACAATCAGACACGGAAGAAACAACGCCAGTGCACGTAAGATTTGTAGAAGTATTTTGGAAGTAAATAAAGCAGAGGCCTGGAGGATGAGGTACAGCTACACAGAAGAGCTGGCACCTGAACAGACAGGGTTTTGAAAGATGAATAGGCCTAGGACAATCAAACACGGGATCAAAGGGCATTCTGGATTGTGCAAAAACACACTAGCAGAAACATCACAGACAGAAAACTGCTGGGAGAACGCGTTCACCCTCAGTGAAGGAAAGCAGGTCTGTTTCTCTAGCTTTCCAAGAAAAAAAAAATCAGCTCTCAAACAAGAGGCTAAGGAACCAAGTTCCACCACTGCCTGTTTTGTTAAGCCTCTCAGCCTCCCTCTGCTTTGTCTTGCTCTTTCTGTCCTGTTTTCCTCTTACAGACATAAAGTACGGTGCTGGCTTAAAACTTCAGTGAAGGAAAGTATTTCAGCTCTGCTGTGGAGAAGGAAAACGGAAAAGTGGAGAAGGGCCAAGGAACACATTTTTTCAATGCACACTTTTAGACTATCTATATGGAGCAAAATTTAAAATTCTAGTACCACAGACCTGAAATATTCATTCCAACTCTTTCTCTTTGCCAGCTCTGTAAATATTTATTTTATGCCTACTGTTAGTTTCTGGGATACCAGGTAGGTGAGGCAGTCCATGCCCGCCTCTAGGGCTGGCAATCTGGTCAAAGAATCAAGCAGAGGGCAACTCATTGCTTTTACCGTATTCCCTCTCCAGCTGCCAACCAAAGCCTGAAGCTCAGGGCAGACTCAAGTTCCAATGAGGAGAGGTACACGTAAATGGCAGCCACCCGTGACAGCGAAGACACTGACAGAGGTCCTCAACAAGTGCCTCTGGTGGCCTCCTCCAGGGATGTGCAGCGGCCAGGGGGGAGCAAGAGCGGTTACAGGAGAGGGTGAAGTTACCTGCGAGCTCAGGTAGACTTTGAGGCACTCCTCGCACACGGCCTTCTTGCAGCAGGGCAGGGGCTTGATGGGCTTGTCTTCCAGGCACACCCGGCACATCAGCACCATGAGGGGCGCAAAGGTGTCCCCTACTCCGCCCAGGCCCGGGTAGGGTGGAGCTCCCAATAGGCTGGGCACCGAGAGCGGCTCGGGCGCCAGGTAGAACTCCAGCTCGATGCTGCCGCCGTCGGGGGACAGGGGCTCTGCCGGCAGGGACAGCCGGGGGCTGGGGAAGGAGGGGACGGGGCTGGGGGGCTTCGGCACTGGCGAAGCCCGAGGTGGGGACTCAGGCGGCGAGAGCTGCTCAGTGGCAGGGGCCTCGGGCAGGTCGCTCTCCACGCAGTACACGGAGCAGAAGACTTGCTTCCTGGCGGAGGGCGGGCGCCGCTGACCCAGCACGTCCAGCAGCAGTCCGTCGGGGGCCCCGGCGCGGCCCCTGGGCTCCAGCTCCTCGCCGGGGGGCGCCTCCTGCTGTTCATCCCCTCCCTCGTTTCGGTCCCCAGCTTCCTCCTGCTGCTGCTCCTGCTCCAACTGCAGTTGCAAAGTCTGCGGGTTGAGGAGCCCGGGGAACGCCAGTCCCGTGGGCCGCCCCACTGCTTGGCTGTTCCTCCAGTGCGGGTCTCCCCGGCTCCTCGCGGGCTCCGGGGCGTTCGAGTCCGCGCAGCCAGAGTTCCTTCCGCAGCCGCCGCCACCGCTCGGCTCGGCGGAGGCGGCGCGCGGCCCGGGAGCCCCCGAGCTGTCCCCCCTCGGCCTTGGGGGCTCGCGGTGGCCAGCGGCGCCGCCAGCCTGGGCCCGCGCCTCCTGGGGCCCGCCGCCGCCGCCGCCGCTCACGGTGCTCTGCTCCTCGCCCATCGCCGCCCGCGGCCCGCGCCGCCGCTGCCCATCCAGCCGCCGGGACCCCCACCCGGCACCGGCGGGCAGCGGGGGCAGCGGCTGGGCTCCACTCGCGGCTCCGCTTCTGCTTCCGGGTCCCTCCTCCGGGGCTGGGACGCCCCAGGCTCCCTCCGGGGAGCTCGTGCTCCCGGGCCGCGGTGCGTGGGGAGCCCGGCCCGGCCCGCCGCGCCTCCTGCTGGGTCTCTGGCGCGGCCGGGCACCGCCTCGGGGGCGCCGAGGGCCGCTTGCTCCGGGCGCGCCGGCGCCCGCCCCACATGCAGGTCGGGGCGGTGACGCGGCCCCCGCGAGCCCCGGGCGGGGCGGAAGGGTCCTGGGGGCGGCGGCCGCCGTCAGTCCCGCGCCATCGCCGGGCCGGGCCGGGCGGCCGGACGGGCGGCTGCAGGGCGGTGGTCAAAGGGTCGAGGGGCCTGCGGCGCCGCTGCGTCGCGCGCCAGGAGGTGCCCGAGCTCGGAGTGAGCCGCCTGGGCCCCTCGGGGAGAGGCCGGAACGGGCGACCTCCCTCGGCTGGCGCTTCACCTAGAGCCCTGGCCGCTGCCCCTCACCCCACCCCTTTGGCGCACACCTCCCCACACGTACACACACGCGCAAGCAGCGCGCACACACTCGCGCGCACTCCCGGGTGGGTGTGATCTAAGAGTCCAGATGCGCTCTGGCGCCCGGAGTTCACACTCGGCCTCTACAGAACCCTTCCGAGCAGGCAGGCTCCTCTTTGGGCTACGTGTTAAAGAGAACTTCCTACAAAACCGCGAAATACTCAGAGCCGCAGCTACAAATCGCCGGCGACTCAGACCGTGGCGCTGAATACCGCCGGGCAGTAGCTGAGTATTCCACTCTGTTTTGTACCTAGGGAGGCAGCAAGGCTCTTCAAAACCCAGAAACCACTCGAAAGGCTTTTTCAATCTACTCCTCCAGCTGCTGTCTTTACAAGAGCGGGTCAATAACTGTTAAGATTTAGCCCTTTTTCCTCTCTCACGAAGTTTTTTTCTTTTAACTCTTTTAAAGGAGTGGCATATGGTATTAAGGTGCTCTCGTCTAATTAATAAACTGAATCACTGGTGGAAATCATGGAGAGTTTCATTAGCATGGACAGATTCAGCCATCAAACTGTTTCCAAGACAACAATTATATTTGAGCCAGAACTTAATTATGTGTTGGTCTATCTTTATTTTACAGGAAGTGTTAGTCACCCAGAGACTGGTGTGTTTTAGTTCCCTAAAGCCAATGAAAACATTTTTGGGAAGTCACCCCCCCCTTTTTTTTTTGAGAGGGAATTCAATTTACACATTCGTTATTGAAGGAAGAAGTGTCTTCGAATGTTTTGTATCTTGCAGTTGGTTTTGTTGTTATTGGGTTGTTCTAAAATGTTTTCCAAATCAGGTGCAAATGCGGCAAAGGTGACTAGCTATGCAGCGCTAAGAAGGCAATGTCATACCAAAGAGGAGGGCCATCATGTGTGTCTGGTGCTCCGTTGAACCTCAGAGGCCAATGCTTGGTCAGTCTAAATGCCCTGTCAAGTGTGCCTCTGACTCGAGAATGGAGAATCTTCTTTTGAAGATTAAATAGTATTCAGGGATTTTTTTTTTCCTCACTCTGGGCTAGATGCAGTCCTGGTAGCTTTCTTTCTTTCTTTCTTTCTTTTTTTTTTTTTAACAGATTTTACTTATTTATTTGAGGGAGTTAGGAGAGAGAGAGCGAGAGAGAGAGGGAGAGAGACAGCTGGTTCACTCCCCAAATGGTCACAGTGGCTGCAGCTGGGCTGATCTGAAGCCAGGAGCCAGGAGCTTCTTCTAGGTCTCCCACGTTGGTGCAGGGGCCCAAGCACTTGGGCCACAGGCAGAAAGCTGAATTGGAAGAGGGGCAGCGGGGGCTCAATGTATATGGGATGCTGGCGCCACAGGTGGAGGCCTAGCCCACTGCGCCACAGCTCTACCCCCCAAACTCTTGCTTTCTCCAGAGTCCTCTAGTGCAGGGAGGTAGATGGACACGTTTTGTGTGTGCCATATGCTGCAGACTCTGCTGCTCTTTCCAAAGCCATGCAGAAGTAACCTGTTGTCTGGGAGACAGTAGACTAAGAATAAGACCAGAGTCACTGCAAGGGGTACAACAGCACATCTTGACAGCATCTATGGGAATCAAACCCTCAAGGTCCTCCTGGAAGTCCCTCCCCTCACACATAACTGCTGCTCTGATAACCTGTTCTTACGTTATCCGTCATTTTGTTCCCAATGGGTTAGGTTCAAGCTTCCTGGCAGTGGCTTTCGCTGACACCTAACCAAGCAAAAGTCACTGCTGGGATTCCTGGAGACTACCCATGCTCTGCTGCTTGACCCCCAGCCCTTTTCCTTGCCAGATTTTCTTCCCTGTGGGATTCTCCTGGCCACTGTGACAACTGAACCATATTTGGTTCCCTATCTGCACCCAACAGGTAGACCCAAACTTGCCCGAATCATAGACCTAGCACCCCTTGCGTTCTGTCTGTGAATCATGCAGGTCACCAGCAGTATAGAATTAGTTAAAAGTGTCAAGTTGTATTGCTTCTCGGCCTTTTGGTTAAGACCAAGTGTAAAAATGGAAAGTTGAGGTACTGGTTTTACCATCAATTCCTGCTGAAGTGCGTGAGCATCAGTAATGATTGTTCAGATAGGATTAACTTTTTTTCAAGGATTTCTTCAAAATACAATTACTGTAGCAAAAACCCCACTCATCTACTGCAAGTTTAATATTCTCAAAAAACTCAGACCATTATATCTTTGTCAAACTGTATTCAGCTATGTACAATGTAACAACCCCCACTAATGTTCTGCCCCTATCACTTTCTACCCTCAGCATGTCCTAATCTGCTATAAACTGTGCACCTTCCTAAAATCCACACTTCAGTATCAGAAGACTACTGTCCTTGGTCTTACTGAGTCTTCCTTTGTTTTCTATTACCTAGTCTTTTTTTCTATTAACCTGGTCCTTACACATGATGTCTTTGAAATTGTTTATCGAGACATTAGACAAACTTACTAATTTATTACAAAATGTTATTCAGAAAAGCCGTGGATCATTTTAGTTTCACATGTTACAGCTAAAATTAATTTCTTCTCAACTGTTACAGAGAAGAAATACATAAGATTTAAATTTCATGAAGCAGTTATATAGCAACAGTCCCTCACTTATCAAACCTGGTAAAAAAGAAACAAATTATTTGATTGAAAAATGCATTTCCTGAAGAAGAATAAATGGGGTGGAATGTCCTTCTAGGTCTACTTCTGAAAGCCACTGTAGTAGGATGTTGGGCTTCCTTTTCCCATTTTTCTCCTCTTTGCATGGGCAGGAAAAGAATTTGAAATCATGAAGAAAAGGAGACATCAAATGGGAAAAAGGAACACAACTGTTTTACTTTCTTTTCCGACATAAATTCATAAATTCTCTAAGGATACAACCCAAACAATACAGTTCATGAGTTAAAGTTTAAAATAAAACAACAATGTGATTTCTTCAAATTTTAAAAGAAATGAAAGCACTGGGGCCTGCACTGTGGCATAGCAGACAAAGCCGCCGCCTGCAGTGCCGGCAGCCCATATGGGCGCTGGCTGGAGTCCTGGCTGCTCCACTTCCAATCCAGCTCTTTGCCAGGTCCCCTGCAGCAATATGGGAAACCCTGAAGAAGCTCCTGACTCTTGGCTTCAGATAGGCCCAGCTCCAGCCATTGTGGCTATTTGAGGAGTGAACCAGCAGGTGGAAGACTTTCTCTCTTTGCTTCTGCCTCTCTGTAACTCTGCCTTTCAAATAAGTAAATAAATCTTTTTTAAAAAAAGTAATGAAAGTGCAAGTGCTTGGAAAACAGGAGAAATCAAGGAGGAGGGGAAAAAGAAGGGAAGGAAAGAGGGGAAATACCAAGAAAGGAAGGAGACACATTGGTTCACCTGCCAGTCACCTCCCCAAATAGCCACTTAAATCACTTTGCCACATTAGTATATTTTATTCTAATGTTTGCATCTCTGTGAATAAAAAATACACACAAGAGAAATAGTCTTTTTTCTGTTCTGTTACTTAGTATACTGAACACTTCATGCTGTTAATACTCCTACATCTGTGCATCATCGTGATTCTTGAGCAAATGCTATTTTACTACACAGACAGGTCACATCATATATCATCAATTCTATTGTGCTGAAAATAGATTATTTATGGTTTTAATGGGTATTATTTTAAAATGTAACCTTGAAATATATTCCTTGTGTACCACAGGATAAAATCCTAAACCCTAAGTTGCTGCAGAAACTGGTAAACATACTCTCTGGCCCACATCCTCAAGAAAACCCAGACCAAGTCTATAACCCCACCAGCATTGTGGGTATGAGATAATCCAGCTGCAGAATCACTCTAAGAAGTTATTTTTCAAATTAAAAAGATGGGTACAGAACATCACACTTTTTAATTCGCAGGCACACTCTTAAATGAAAGGGGGAAATCCAATATTAACCGTCAATGCCCTCCAGACATTTCCTGTGTTCCTGAGTCATGATTCTGACAGCTTCCCTTCCTTCTCTTTTCTGAATTTCCTCTTACCTCTTCCAGTGACACTTGTGCGCTAATAAATTTAAGTCAGTCCCAGTTAATGCTTCTGAATCTGTGGTGCCAATTTCCCATTTCTGCTTTGATCATGGACAAGAAGGAAAAATATTTCTTTTTAAGAGTGAAACAGTTTCATCCCAGTGAACAGAGAAATAAGCTTGGTGTTAAATTTGTTACGAACACCTCTCTCTCTCTCTCCCCCCCCCCTTTGAAATAAATCTAAAAGAAAAATATAAAAAAAATGTTTTAAAGAACCTCGAGTTGGAAATCTCAGGTACAGGGTACAAACAATAGGATAGAGTCCCTCATCACTAGAAACCTCTATTTTAAATTTAAAAGACACACTTATACAGTAAAGAATTAGCCTTGATTAAAGAAAGGCTTGTCCCTTGCCCCCAGCTCTTTGTCTAAACCCTTGGCATAGCTGGCTGGATGCATGTCTTTGTTTACCTGGGGCCAGTGGGAGTTATGGCGGGGTCCTTGAGTCATGAGCTCGCAGTTTGCGCACTGAGGGCTTGGAACCTAAGGCCAGCCGTGTCG